GAGGGGTTGTGACAATATATATATATATATATATATATATATATATATATATATATATATATATATATATATATATATATATATATATGAGCAGTAGTCGGACAGGGACCACGACACCCCTGTCAGCCTGCCCGTCAGCCCTACGCGTGGCCCCGCGGCAGCAAAAGGCGAGGGGGATAATCCCATAGGCCCATCAACCCCTCAAGTCTTTTCGCCACGCTCCCCTGCCGCACGCTGTTGGTCTCGATCCTTGCGCTTGCTGCGTACCAGTCCGATGCTATAACCTATAGGGCTAAGCCCAAGCCTGGTACTAGCAGGCCTGACTCACCTAATAAAGAGGTAGCCCCTGGCCTTATGGGGCCAAAGGAGCCACCCTATGCCATTTCCTAACCCATACTCACACACATGACCACAAAAAGGCCGCGCCAACCTCTCGACTGTGCCGCGGCTACCCTTACCCGGCCGAATCCATCAGGTCCCATCATCTGGATGCTGTGTAAGGCCACACTCGCTCACTGACCCGTCCATCGTTCCACGCGGAACCAGAGAAAAGCGCCTATAGGTTAGCCAACTTAGTCAAAACAAACAATTGTTATAATGGAGCGCGCCGACCGATGTCCGCGCCACGTCTGTTAGTGTAACCAAAAGGAAGGGAAAATCACGCGCGCCCACGCACTCTTTTACTCTCGTCAACCATCTTGTCAACATAAATTACGGAAGCGGCCGCGCCTAGCGCGGCATACTTAAACTTTAAACCAAACTGCTTTCTGTTGTTTGCAAAGACCAGGGCGGATACCCTTGTAAGGGTATTCGTTCCGACACCGCTCTCGTCTGCTCAATACTCTACGTACATACCCACGAGGTAGGTTTGTACCACAGAGTTGGTGCGGGAGCAAAGCTGTACCAGCCCCTCATCATGGTGATGTGGGAATTGGGGTTTGAGCCGTAGTGTCGGTGCGAGAACAAAGCTGTCCCAGCCCCTCATCACGGTGATGTGGGGATGGGGTGGGTGTGACTGGAGGGGTACACCGGTAGTGCCGAGCACTATGGCCAGTGGCTGCACCCCCCTTTTTTCCCTCCCCCCCCCAAAGTCTACATTACCAGCTTTGGCCAAGGTCCTGCTAATACTGGCCTGGGAGGCCAGCCGGCTGTCTCTACTGCAGACTATAGCACACCAAGCATGCCCAGACACGCTTATGAGCAACGGGGTGGTCGAACCCACGACCGCCTGAAACGCAGCTTGTGTGTGCCTTGGCCACTGAGCTACCACCTCCCCCCGAGCACAACGCACCCTCATTATGACTGGGGTCTAACGGGAAAGATGACTTGTATACATTCAGAATCAGGGTGCGTAATGTTCGGGGGAAGAGGGTAGGCCCGTCGGCCTCGTTGGCCTCCATCATCATAATTCCCCTTCTTCATTTTCTCCTCTCTTCCCGTCTCTCATTACTATGCAACATTAGGCATGTTTCTGGACGGTTATCAGGCGCAGACATACATTCAATTCAAACTGATCCAACATTTTGAATGTACTAGGCCGATGTTGAGGGCCAGATTCATTTCGAACGTTCTGCAGTGAGCGAGGCCCTTCATCTCTCTCTTCTCTACGTCAAGATGTACACTGCCATCTTGCCCCGAACATAACGCACCCCAAAAATGAATGTATACAAGCTATTTCCGGCCAAATACAGCCAAAATAAGGATGCGTTGTGTTCGGGTGAAGAGGGTACCGTCTTCCCCCGAACATAACGCACCCTGAAATTGAACGTATGCAAGCTATATTTCCGGTCCCGTACGGCCAAGATGAGGGTGCGTTGTGTTCGGGGTCAGACGGTGCCTGATAGGGGTACCCAACCAGTATCACATTCTTTTTTTTTTTTTTTTTTTCTGAAAAAGCGAGGAATCCATATCACAACCGGCGATCTCAAAAAAAAAAACAAAAAAACAAAACCGTACCCAACCAATACCTTAGGATTTTTTTTAATTTTAATTTAATTTTGTTTTATTTTTTCTTAGGAAAAAATTAAAAACCTCATGCTTACCTAATAACCCCCCAAGGGCTCAAACCGCCGAATCGCCTCAGATCTTGCCGTGTCTCGTTGAGACGACTCCCGCTCTGTTCCTTTTGGACCATTTTTTTTTTTTTTTTCTCTCAATTTATGCGTGTCATCCTTGAAAGCGCAGGGGCCATTTGCTAAGTTACCCTTCTCTGTATCGTTCCAATTTTAACGGATGTCCCGAACTACGCTCTTCTGTTCCTTTTCGGCCCGCGAGGACAGCGGGCAGCAAAAGACAAAAGTACGGAAAAAAAGGAAACAGGGGGAAAATCGCACGCAGCCGCAAAATGCCATCTGCGATCTCTGACGTTGTAACGTTGTGACGCTAAACGGCAATTTGAAGTTTCCCCGTCTCTCTCTTTGTCTCTCTCTCTCTTCAGTTTCTCTCTCTTTTCCTTTCTCTCTCTCTCTCTCTCACACACACACACACACACACACTCACACACACACACACCTGCCATTTTCCGCGCTGAGGTTCTTGTCGTTGCGGCGCACAGGGTTATTCTTTCTCTCTCTCTCTCTCTTGACTTTTTCTCTGTCTCTCACTGTCTCCACCTCTCTCTGTGTCACTCTCTGCATCTCTCTCTCGCTCACCTGCTGCCCTTTTGCGCGCCGAGCTTGTTGTCATTGCGGAGCACAGGGTTATGCGTGTTCCTTGGGGGAAAAATCGCTGTAGTCGACGATTGCCTCCACAGCTCTTGAAAGGGTAATAAGAGACACGGCACGGCAGATCCAAGGGTGTGTAAATCATCGGCAGAGTGACGCGTGTCATCCCCGGATAGCATTGCATGAATGGTGGCGACTCAAGGAGCCAAGGCACTTGTGTCAGAGAGACACGTGTCATCTCCACGCTGATCTCAATCAGGTCAGTGCGACTCCATCACCCTCTGTCTCTGTGTGTGTGTGTGTGTGTGTCTTGCGTGTGTGTGTGTGTGTGT